CGGGCCCACCTCTGAGGAAAAGTCCTACCAGTTGAAAAAATGTGCATTTCAACAGTGAAACAGTGGAAGTTTACCACTTTTATTTACACATTCGGAAGTCTAAAGAATGAAGACAAGTAGAAAAATCAGATTTATCACCAATCAAAAATTCAACCTACAGGTCAACGACAAATGATTTATTCCACCATCAATTTGGGGTTCAGTGTTCGGTCCCTGTTTATTGGATCCTACCGGCAGCTTTCAGCTTAGAATCCACAGGTTGCCAAGAACGTACAGGCAGCCAACGGACGTGCGTCAAATCCGAATGCAGGACTGACTTAGACGTACTCAACTCAATCCAATTATATAAATGGTTCGCAAAGCATGATTACACACGTGTGTAAATGTATGTATGTATGTATGTATGTATGTATGTACGTACGTACGTACGTACGTATGTATGCATGCATGCATGTATGTATGCATGCACGTATGTACGTACGTACGTACGTACGTATGTATGTATGTATCTATTTGCAAATATAAATATAAATATATATGTATGTATCTATGTATCTATGTATCTATGTATCTATGTATCTATGTATGTATGTATGTATGCATGGATGGATGGATGGATGGATGCATGCATGCATGTATGTATATCTATATATATATATATGTGTGTGTAATTGCGTATAGTAACTATATGTATGTATGTATATATATATATATGTGTGTGTGTGTGCGTGTAAGAATTATATAGGTATGAATATATTATACATGTATAGCAGTAAATATATCTTATATATATATATATTTGCGTGTGTGTGTGTGTGCATTTATATATTTACATAAACGATCTGGAAACATCTGTCATGAACCAGGCTGGGTATTTGGGGCCATGAAAATGCCCCTGCAAGGCAGCACGCCTCATAGGTTAGGTCTGCTACCGCCATATTGGCCTCCAAAAACCACTGTCGGTTCCAAAAAAAAGGGCTGAGGCTCGCTGAGGTTATCTGATGATCCCCCACGATACCCCATAGAAATAACTTTGAAATGATGAAGATAAATGGCCGTGAGGCCCAAATTATAGACTGAAATAGACTGAAACCATCAAAGCATCCCAGTGGGTGATCCTCACGTGTTGCCTTCCTCACAAGCTGAGCGTAAGGACGTCAAGTCTCCTATCTCGAACTGTCCCTCCACACTCAAAATTGCTTAGGTTCAGACGCGGGCACCAACAAAACCCTGCACTCGCACTGCGATGTCCTTGAAAAGGATGCCAGACATCAACCCCCATAATCCCAAATACCAGGTATACTGGTAGTGTATCACTATCACCCCCTGTTGTGGCAAGACATTATATGTTTGCCCCATTGATATATTGATCCATTCACCCAGCCCCGGTAAAGCCCATCTTCTCATGGCGGTCCTGAATCCGAACCTCTCTCAACTTCAGCTCGGGGGGCTTGTTCCTTGGCCAAACCGAGGAATGCCCAATGGAAGTGGGTGTCCAATCCTTCAGAATTAACGAGGTATCCAGGATCTGCACACGTCTCTTCAAATGAACCCTGACATAGTGATCCAACCTTTTACTGGCCAATCGTTGGAAACAAATCACTTTGGAAATGGGATTAGTTGCGTGACAAGGATCTCAGGAGGCCTTAGGTTCTCTTTGATCTCGCTGATCTTTGTCAAAGTATCGTTGACGTTCCTTGTTGAGCCATGCCAGTGACCACCCGCGGTGGTTTTAATGGGGACATGATGACAGCCGCTCGTGTTTCGGGCGTTTTTTCCAAAGAAAAAGTCAATGTGCTGCTGCGGCTCGAAGAATTGAAGGTCTTTTCGTACATGAGCTCCATGCCCACAACATGGAGCTGCTGCACTGTAAGCTGACGGCAGCGAGACATGAGGAAGTCGCGCAGCAGAACGTGGCAGCGAATTCCTCAGGAGTGATCAAATCTCCGGACCTTCTCAGACCTTCTCAGACCTTCTCATTCTTATCGCTATTTTGTCGCCATCCTCATCATCATCATCACCACCATCGCCCTGATCTCCCTGATCATCACTAGAGTCAGCATATTGGTTGCAGTGATCAGCCAGCAGCCAGTACTAACGCCAGCCCCAGAGAGCAGTGACAAGACACGCTTTGCCGTCAGCAAATATGGCGATCGCCATTCACGTTCCGGCGGATTCCCCAGCTCCAAGCCGTCAATGCAAATGAGACCCTCGCTGATATCGACCTGGTGTCACAAGTAGAACAGTTGGTTCTACCAGGTGGCCATCCAGAATCATCCAGATTCTACCCTTGCACCAGGTTGTGCTATCCTACAAATCTTCCACACTCTAGGTGTTTCAAGAGAGTACCTTGTGGCCTTTTAAACTTGAGAGCAGGCGGAGGCGGACGAAAGGTAGTGTAGTGGGAGAGGAGTGGTGTCAAAATGCTGCGCCCCTAAGATGATACACCAAAAACGTTTTTGCGCAGTCTAAGATGATTTTATCCAGAGCATGACTGCATGATACGGTGTCTTGTGCAGCGTGAAATGATGCACGAAAAGTGGTTTATTTAAAACCCCTTTTTAAGACCCCTTGCAGCAACTGTTATTGAGGCTGAAGCAAACCAATTATGCTGGACTACAGGGACATCTCCCTCATGGAGAGTGTGCCTCTACTGTGGCGGACCGTGACCGCGTCACCCGTGGGAATTGAACCCATGACCATTTTAGCGGGGGAGGGGCCCTCTTATAATTGATATCTAATACATAACGTCGAGAATTCTACGTTTTCCACGGGCTGGCCCCCCCAATACCCCCTATGATTGTGCTGAAGCACGGAGAACTCAGGTAGCTGACGCTACCTTTCGTGACTTTTATCCATTGCAAGTGGTCAAATGTGTCATATCTGTTGGATCCCCTCTGTGCCCAGAAACGTATGCAGAATCCACCTTGAGTTCCATCTTCAAGACCTCGGTCAGGGGCTCCAAAGCTGAGGGATCCCCCAGGGGTGCTGTTGACTGGAAACAAAACAGCTGACTGGAAATAGCCTCCCAACTGGTCAAGCCAAAAGAACCGAAACGGAAACACAGCTGGAAAAACCATTTGTACTCCTGGTTTATGACCTGCATCTAACAGAGGCCAAGCTACAAAGTCACTCAATTTCCTCAAGCCGTTGGCCACTCGCGAGCCCATGATCGCCTCACATCGTGACATGGAACCATTGAACCTTGGCAATTTCCAACAAAACCAATCCGGGTAAGGATCAAAATTTTGACCGTCTCGGCATCCGAAAATTCCCTGTCCCACCAAATCCCACCTTGAAAGCGAAAACGCAGGCCGGCACCAACAATAAAATCACCTAAGGTGAGTGCGGATTTACCCCGGTTTGTGGTAGTTTCAATGAAGAAAATGATGATATTCCATTGTGTTCTTGGTTGTCCACAAAAGGACAATTAAAAGTTATTTTTCATGACCCTCATGGCCGACGCAATCAGTTCTCCGGAGAAATCGGAGTTCCACAAATAGACATGACATTGGCCTTGCAGAAGTCTGGCACGAAGTCAAGAAGAAAATGACTACAGTGACTACAGGTGCTCGTTTTTGTCACCAAGGAACGCCATACCATAAGACCACTTTCCGAAGCTCTGGTTGCACTTTTGGGTTGTCGCTCCGCAGAAAAGCCTCGGATGTGCCCAGTTGATCTGTATGTGTAGGATGTGCGGCCACTAGATGTGCTGGGTACTGGTATGGCCCGCCATTGGCGAGTGATGGGGACCACGTCTTCCCTCTCTTTCGGAAGTTTTCTCCATGCAAGCTGATGGGACTTCCCGGATTCCTCAACCCAGGTGGTGCATCCCTGACCTCTTTGTGTCCTAGATTTGGCCCCAATGAACAGCCAAGGGCCCAAGTCAACATCCAGGTCAAGGAGCAAACAACAGAAGGGCCCAGAGCAGAGCGGCAAAGAAGTAGCATAAGGGGACACGCCAATGGCAACCACCATCCTCAACCGCGCTGGGTGAAAGCGGAAAGCTGGTGTCCAGGATGGGTGCAAAAATGGTGAAAATCGCTCTAACTTTCTAGTCAAACCCCCTAAGAAATTGTCCTAGAGCTGGATGGTTTCAGATCCAGGTTTAAATCATAACAGCCTTTTGAATCGCTCTGAGGAG